GACAGCGCATCTTGACGGTTTCCTTCTCTGGGCTAGATGGCTACTCTTGGAAAGTCATCCGTGTATTTCTAAACCACTCAGCGGAACACTTCACGAGCCGCTGCATGCATGTATATACTGTTTGTAAAGAAAGGAAGGGGGTTGGGGGTTGGGGAGGTGCTGAGTCAGTGTATGAAATAGCAGGATAAATGGAAAGCGTCAATAAATTTGTAGTGGAATGGTTATCTATCGACGGCTGGTAGAACCGAAACCAGTACTCTCATGACGATTTGAATTGTTGGATCCAGATGACGATCCAGAACGACCACCCCATCCAGAACCTCCACGTCCGATGCTGCCATACCCATCGTTGTGGTGATTATGATGGTTTTGCTGGTTACGGCTACCGGCCCAATATCCTGCTGCGGCTCCTCCTGCGGCACCACTCCAGAACCCGGGTCTCCAAGTGTCGGATTGCGAAGAAGGCTTAGAACCGGGATATGGAGGTGGAGGGTCATCGCCGTCAGGACCCCATCCGGGGCCCCATCCTCCAGAGGACCATCCGTCGCGGCGGCGTCGCGGTCGGTTGGAGTTGCCGCCAGCCTCTTGTGCTCTGTAACACGCCGAGTAAAGTATCCAGGCGAGAATAGAAACGAAGATAGTTGTGAAGAGTAGAGCCCCCCAATCAGTACCACCTCTGCCGTCATTAAACCATCCTCCGTTGGCGATATTTGGATAACGGCGTTCGCCCTTCCTTGTCAAAGCAACTCTGTATTCGACACCGCAACTACCCTTCAGAACATAGGGGTCGTCGGGGGAGTTGTAACCCTCACATATTACATCCGTAGTGACAAGCTTGAGCTCTTCTGGAAGTGAGGCAGTACAACTCCATTGAATATCCTCATCACCCCAGCCGGAGCCTTCATTGGTGCAGCGCATCACATCAACATCATAAAGTTCACAGAGCGCCTTCTTGGAGACACAGCGCAGTTGGGGAATGGCGCCAACACGGCGATGATTCGTCATGGCTCCGTTACCGCGGAGGGTGAGAGATCGCACATCAGAAAGCTTGATGGCATCCTTGGGGCGGGCGGCCAGCACAAAAGCCGGCAGTGCAAGTAGCCAGGCGAGAGAGCCAGGTATCATGATGTTTTGGGGGCTATGACGTTAAGTCGAATATGTGCCCGTATGCTTATCGTGAGATTCTGATACGGATCGGACGGCGAGGTTTTAGAAATGATGGGAGTTTAGGTTTTATTTTGGACAGAAGAAGACGTGTTGAGTTGGACACGTGCCGGAGCGATAAGAAGTCTAAAGATGGGCTTGAATGATGATGTGGCGATCTGTAGTCAGCTCTGATGATTTGTTCAGAGTCTGTGGTAGCATCCAATGAAAAGACGAATAGACGATTGTTGCCTAAGGCTTGAACTGGCAGTCATGAGGGCAAAGATGGCCAAACTCGTTCTTGACAGCCGTAGAGAGACCTGGCCTCTAGCGATACCAAATACAGGTTCGTTTTCATAAGTCCAGTACAGTACTCGATTATCTCGCTGACTATGAACCTCCAAGGTCACCATGATGACATCCAATTTGTCCTAAATAAAGCCTCACATTAGGGTCTTTCGTTCGAGCGACTTCAGATATAGCAGCATAACGCAGTGTCGAGTAAAGGAGGAGAACACTAAGTAATGCGTTTTCTATTGCGTTCTGTGTAGTAAAAAGGCACAAAGTCCATACGGTGGTGGATCACATCTGCATCATCCGGTCCTGGTCGTCGGAGTGAGGCTTCGCGACATACATACAACATCGAGCGGCGGCAAACCCGACAAGAATGCTTACAGCAATACAATCATAGCATCGTAAGCAAGTTTCCAAAATTTCTCCACTCAATAAGAAGGGTTTTCATGTCATGTTACTGTTCCATCTTTGGGGCCATGGTCTATATAATGCAGGTGTTGAAGCTTGAGGTAATTGTTCAAGCTTTACGGTGTTATAACATAAGTTCTGTAACTTGCTTCAAAAACTTCAGAATTAGATAGATCCTCATCTACTCTTTTACTGCAATAATTTCGCAGAATCAACATACACTTCAGGTATATAGCGTCCTGCAAGAAACTATTTCACATGCCGCAGCTCCAGGGTGGATGTGATCCAAGCAGGGAGCATCCTCGTTTATCGCCCCATAGCCATGAAACAATCCTTTATGCGAAACTGTGGAACCTCACCTGAACGTATAGGCGTTCAGGCGTTACGAGAAATATTATTCTAGATGCCCTGGGAAGCCAGAAAGCCTCAGATCTTGAGACAGGTAGGGTATAGATGAAGCCCAAAATAAACTTACCGAAGACTCCCCTGACCTTATGCTAACTTACCTATATATTTCTATCATTTAGGGTTAAAGCCTTTAGTTCTCCTGTCTCCTCCAGAGTTCCAATGTCATCAACCTGACGGTTATAGCGGCGCAATACAAGGAGGCACTGTCATGCTTTGTCGCACACGAGTACCCCTCGAGAATACTCGATAGAACAGCCATGGGGTCAACTCAAATGCACCCGTCTTTGTGTTCAAGTCAATTCAAAACACTTATTGATTAAAGACAAGTTTGGAAAAAGCTCAATTGACAAAAGCGGCAGCAGGATGTATCGTACTGGCAAAAGTCCTCCGAGCAAGGATGCTGATAGCATATGGCCTAGGATACAAGATCCTTCGCTCGACTACCTCTAATGTTAGGCTCGCACGGGACGCGGAAGTTTCAAATACCCTCATGCAAGAGTCACTCCCAACAACTTAGCCTCCTAGATGATCATCATTGAGAGTGTAAGGGCTAACCTTACAAACCGGCACTGATTTGGCGACTTGGGAACTTACTTTAGAGAATAGAGCCCCAAACGTGAAGTGCACTGCCCGGGCAGCTTCCCACGTTCCACAGTATCTTTTCTTTCAACAGGAAGTTGTTCTGCAGTTGATGAGCAATACCGAGTTGCAGCCACCCGTCTTCGCGAATGCGAGAATTGCGAAGCTGTTGGTTGTGCCCTGATGACAAGCCACGCAATCTAGAATTTACCGGATTTAGCGACCAACAACATTAACGGATACGAAAATGAGTTTAATGACCGGGATTCGGACTCGGGAGCTCCCGATCACCTCCTAGCTCTCATTCTATGCTGACAATCGGGAACCGGCGTCAAGAACTCACCGATTCCGATGATCACCATCAGTATTCAGCAGTTGACAGGATTGGAAGTTTACCCGAATCTTCTGAAGACCACATCGCTATTGAACGAGATTGTTATTGCTCTTCTCATTATTGTGCAGCATACGGATCCATCTGTGCACCAAAGTGCTACCATACTCGAACCTCAATACCTCATCGAGGTGACATGAATCTGATGCACAACGGCTTGTGTATTGCAATGCTTGCCCCCTGTGATACGGCGCTGGGACATTCAACATCACTCTGGAGCCTGTTGCTTGTGCTGACTGACTATGTATGGCATACCTGAAGCTCGAGGCTTGTGGAGTGCCAGTGATTGTTGCGTCCAGGGACTCTTGTTGGATAACATAATTATATTGGCCTAATCGTGGCTTCGAAGCGTGCCGAAGTCCCGTGCTTATTATTTACCCGGCTCCGGTTTTAACTGTCTTTTAATAAAAGCTCCGAAGCCTGGAGTAGGCTACTAGGCTACGTATGTAAGTAATAAAAGTGAACCGATAGTGGCAGATTGAAGCGAGCCCGGCGCTGTCCGAAAGCAGCAACCGTTTCGACGCCGCAGAAATGCTCCACAGAAGCTCGGCCGCCTAAGCTCTCTGCGACGAATACCTGTCTGATCGTAGTTAGGTTGGCTGGCGGGAAAAGGGCAGGAGATATAAATGTGGGGCCAAGAATTACAGGACCCAGATAGACGACAAAGTATTATATTTCTTTTATAGAACAACCACGGAGTAAAAAATAACGAATTTTTCCTTCTTTCGGAATTATCAAAAGAATGAAATCGTAGAGCCATGTCGAACCCACATAGTTATAATTCTAATTCTAATTCCAATACTAATAGCTTTCAGATGCGAACGACTTGATTCCTTGTCTGTCCTTTTCAACCTAACCGAGTTGAAGACTGTGAGTAAGCGCTGGATGCATTTTCGCTCCGTAGGATTACCCACCACGGGCTGTCGGACTACTGCGGGAGTCCGAGGGCAGATCCAATGATTCAAGATGGTCAGAGACAGACAGCCAGAGACAATATACGCGGTGAGATGACTCAAACAATCGGTACATCTGCAGCTTTTTGACCGGGAGGATTGTACAGTCTCCATCGCAACGGGGTTCTCTGACTCCCAAGACATTGGATGCTGAGATCACACACAGATCAGAGATCCCTGTACTGGACCGGCTTACGGGGTCTTGAATACGCCTGAGCATGAGTGACAAGTGACAATGGAACATTCTTCACCAAGGATGCTCCCCCCCAGGCTCCAATCTGCAAGAACCCCATATTTGAGCCGCCAATGAATGATTAGCGGATCAGAAATTCGTTTAGCTGAAAAGGGAAGAGAAGCGTAATCGACCTCTGGACCAGGCGACTTTTTGTGTCCCGGGCCCGCGTCCGACAGCAAGGTACGCTAAGCCAGTCCAACAGACGTGGATGTGTTGCCCAAGCTCAGTTATTTAAATAAATTGTCCATTCATCTCGAGTCGCATTTTCTTGTGTTCTCGATCGAGAAATAAAACAGATCCTTCGCACATTGTTTCTCACCAACACAGTCCGCACTGATAGGAAGCTGCTCACTTGGGGCCTCATCGTTGCCCGTGCTGCAGCTTATTCGACTTGGACTCTCTATGCGAAAAATACATGAACGATCAATACGCATGATTCGCTAATCTCGACGACAACCATATCAACTCAACACCCACTGGTGTTTCCTTTTCATCCAAGGGTGTTTCTTCGCCCCGCCAATAACTTGCTGTACACCTACTCTTCTTAACCACTGTTAAGGTCTGGTTCTTCAATAACCGCATCATCACCATGACCGAGATTTCAGAAAAGGCAGCCGCTGCAACAAGCAGCAACAATCCCTCGCGGCCATCGTCGTCAAGCCACAGCGGGAGTGGTTCAACAGACAAAGATGCAGTTCGCCCACACATGAAGTCTTCGAGCGACCCCAACAACGAAAAGTTGGACTTGACAAAGGCCGATTCAGCAGTCATTGTGCCTCCCAAGGCAGAGAATATCGAGGATCACTATCGACACTTGCCACCTGACGAAGCCGAGGTGTTGCGACGCCAAGTCGTCAGCCCCGAAGTCAAGCAGGGCGTGGCTGTACTATACAGATATGCCTCCCGCAACGACATATTAATTATTCTGATCTCATCTATATGTTCCATTGCTGGCGGCGCGGCGCTTCCTCTAATGACCGTGGTGTTCGGCAACCTTCAAGCAGTGTTCCAAGACTTTTTCGTGAATCGTACCTTGACAAGCAGTGCCTTCAATGACAAATTGGTGGAATTCGTTTTGTACTTTGTCTATTTAGGCATTGGCGAATTCATTGTCGTATACATATCGACTGTTGGGTTTATCTATACCGGAGAGCATCTGTCAGCAAAGATTCGGGAGCATTACCTTGAAAGCTGTTTAAGACAAAACATCGGTTTCTTCGATCAAATTGGCGCCGGCGAAGTGGTCACAAGAATTACGTCCGACACGAATCTCATCCAAGATGGCATTTCGGAGAAGGTGTCTCTCACTCTTGCAGCTGTGGCTACGTTCGTCTCGGCCTTCATCATCGGTTTCATCAAGTATTGGAAACTGACTCTGATCCTTTTTTCTACTGTCATTGCTCTCCTGCTCAACATGGGCGGTGGTTCATCCTTCATACTAAAATACAATCGACAAAGTCTCGAAGCTTATGCTCATGGAGGAAGTCTTGCAGACGAGGTCATCAGTTCTATTCGAAATGCTGTCGCATTCGGGACGCAGGAACGCCTAGCCAGGCAATATGATACCCACCTCAAAAATGCGGAATACTTTGGGTTTCGTGTCAAAGGCGCTGTCGCTTGTATGATTGCAGGTATGTGTTTCTCTAGGGTGTTGAAGATGCATGCGAATGGCTTCAACCACAACCCACCCATCTTCCACCAACTCTATACCACACCCCATCCTTCTTACACAACTCCTCAAATTTCCAAGTGCCTTGTACAGAATGAATTTCTAATCTAATTAGGTATGATGATGGTCCTGTACCTCAACTATGGCCTAGCCTTTTGGCAAGGTAGCAAGATGCTTGTAGATGGTGAAACCTCACTTTCCAACATCCTGACTATCCTTATGGCTGTGATGATAGGCGCGTTCAACCTAGGTAACGTCGCTCCTAATATTCAGGTATGTTGATTCCAGTTTCTCCCAGCTCCTTAGCTATTGTTTGCGGCCTTTGCGATGGACAGACTGCGTGTTTAGCTATGTACCACCTATGCACTATTTGAAAGCTAACCTTATAACAGGCTTTTACGAATGCAGTCGCTGCTGCTGCCAAGATCTTTAATACAATCGATCGTGCTTCTCCCCTCGATTCTTCTAGCAATGAGGGCGAGAAACTCGAGAATATCCAGGGTTCCATCCGGCTCTCGAAAATCAAACACATCTACCCGTCTCGCCCGGAAGTTACGGTTATGGATGACGTGAGTCTCGAAATCCCGGCCGGCAAGGTGACGGCTCTCGTTGGGGCGTCAGGCTCAGGCAAATCCACGATTGTCGGCTTGGTTGAACGGTTCTACGATCCCGTGCAAGGCACAGTTTACCTGGATGGACACGATATCTCTAAACTTAATCTTCGATGGCTACGACAGCAAATGGCTCTTGTCAGCCAAGAACCCACGCTCTTCGGTACTACTATCTTCAACAACATTCGTCACGGTTTGATCGGCACCAAGTATGAAGATGCGAGCGAGGAAAAGCAGCGTGAGCTAGTTATCGAAGCTGCCAAGAAGGCAAACGCGCATGACTTTGTTTCTTCTCTCCCCGAAAAATACGAAACCAACGTTGGAGAACGAGGGTTTCTCCTCTCAGGTGGCCAGAAGCAGCGTATTGCTATCGCTCGCGCCATCGTTTCCGATCCTAAGAGTAAGTTCATGACTATAAAAACATGCGATGTTTGACCAAAGCCAAAGAGACTCTTGAGTCTATCCTACGATACTCTAGTCTTGCCTAAGTTAAGAAAACCCAAGTCTGACACTTAGGAAAGTTTATGGTATCTTAGGATAAACCTCAAGCCTGGTTATATCCCCAGTACCACCCACCCCCTCTCCCCGGAGTAGCCGGTATTCTCTGAACTAACATGATTCTAGTTCTCCTCCTTGACGAAGCAACGAGTGCTCTCGATACCAAGTCAGAAGGTGTTGTGCAGGCCGCCCTTGAGAACGCCTCTGAAGGCCGTACAACTATTACCATTGCTCATCGTCTCTCAACTATCAGAGATGCCCACAACATCGTTGTGATGTCCGATGGTCGAATCGTTGAACAAGGGACTCATAACGAACTTCTGGAGAACAAGGGGCCATATTCGAAGCTTGTTTCGGCACAGAAAATTGCCGCTGCTGAGACAATGACCCCTGAAGAGCAAGCTGCTATTGATGAGGAGGAGGTATCACTTATGCGGAAGATGAGCGAGAAACGGGCTGCAAATATCGCTGACCCTAACGACGACATCGCAGCCAGGCTAGACCGCACGAGCACCACAAAATCCGCATCGAGTCTGGCTCTTCAAGGTCGCAAAGCCGAGGTCGAACAAAAGTATAGCTTGTGGACACTTATCAAACTCATCGCGTCTTTCAACAAGAAGGAATTGGGATTCATGCTTGTGGGACTGCTGTTCTCTGCTGTATGCGGCGGAGGAAATCCTACGCAAGCTGGTAAGCTGCTAGATATCCCTTTCAAGTAATGCGTCGTGCCTAACTTTGTTCCAGTTTTCTTTGCCAAGCAGATCACAACTCTATCAGCGCCCGTGACGGATCAGACCAAGCACCAGATCAAGAAAGATTCTGATTTCTGGAGCGCCATGTATCTCATGCTCGCCTTTGTTCAGCTGTTCGCATTTATCATTCAAGGTGTTTTGTTTGCGAAATGTTCTGAGCGACTAGTCCACAGAGTAAGAGACCGAGCTTTCCGGGCCATGCTTCGTCAAGACGTTGCCTTCTTTGACCGCGATGAGAACACTGCTGGAGCACTCACCTCATTTCTATCTACTGAAACAACTCACGTCGCTGGACTGAGTGGCGTGACGCTGGGAACCTTGTTAATGGTCGGCACAACACTCATCGCTGCCATGGCTCTATCCCTAGCAATTCAGTGGAAGCTTTCACTCGTGTGTATTTCATTGATCCCCGTCCTCTTAGGATGTGGCTTTTTCCGCTTCTGGATCCTCGCTCAATTTCAGCGCCGCTCCAAGGCTGCCTACGACAGCTCTGCCGGGTTCGCCTCCGAGGCAATCTCCGCCATCCGCACCGTCGCCAGTTTGACCCGCGAAGAGGATGTCATGAAACAGTACAGAGACGCTCTCGCTATACAACAGCGAAAGAGTCTAATCTCCGTCCTGAAGTCCTCCACCCTCTACGCCGCCTCCCAGAGCCTCCTGTTCGCATGCTTCGCGATAGGCTTCTACTATGGAGGCACACTAATTGGACGGTTTGAAATGACTATGTTTCAGTTCTTTTTATGCTTTATGGCAATTATCTTCGGAGCCCAGAGCGCGGGTGAGTTATATGAAGATTCAACTTGGTTCCCTGTTGAATCTTGAATCTGCCTCTATACAGATTCAACCCATGTATCTGAGGAATTTGGAACACAGCTAACCAATTACAAATTGACAGGCACAATCTTCTCCTTCGCTCCTGACATGGGCAAAGCGCACCACGCTGCCGGAGAATTAAAAAAATTGTTTGACAGACAGCCCGTCGTTGATACGTGGTCTGACACTGGAGATCGTCTACCTCATGTTGAAGGTACCCTAGAGTTCCGGGACGTCCACTTCCGATATCCTACGAGACCAGAACAGCCTGTCCTCCGTGGTTTGAATTTGACTGTTCGACCGGGACAGTACATCGCGCTTGTAGGCGCATCAGGTTGCGGAAAGTCAACGACCATCGCACTTTTAGAACGATTCTACGACCCCCTTTCTGGAGGGGTATTCATCGATGGACACGAAATCAGCACGCTGAATGTGAACGACTATCGATCACATATTGCACTTGTCAGTCAGGAGCCTACACTTTACCAAGGAAGCATCAGGGAAAACATCCTTCTGGGTACTGCACGTGAGGATGTCTCGGATAAAGACATTGAGCATGCGACTCGTGAAGCCAACATCTATGATTTTATTGTGTCGCTTCCTGACGGCTTTAATACTATCGTTGGTAGTAAGGGTGCGTTATTGTCTGGTGGACAGAAGCAGCGAATTGCCATTGCACGAGCTTTGATTCGAGATCCCAAGATCTTGCTCCTTGACGAAGCAACTTCAGCTCTAGACTCTGAGTCAGAGCATGTGGTACAGGCAGCGTTGGACAAAGCGGCCAAGGGCCGAACTACTATCGCTGTTGCGCATCGTCTAAGTACTATTCAGAGGGCTGATGTCATCTACGTTTTTGACCAAGGCCGTATTGTTGAGCAAGGCACACATTCGGAGCTGATGAAGAAGAATGGACGTTATGCAGAGCTGGTCAACTTGCAGAGCCTCGAGAAGCAGAGTTAGACTGAGGTGGCATTGTGAGACTTTGGTGCATTGTATCGGCGTTTGGGCGATCTGTTGTTAGCAGGGACATCCCCCTCTTCAAGAAAGGAGGGCATTTTCTTATTATTGTTTGTAATATTTCTGATGTATACCATCTGATCAGCCAACTCTATTCAAACATTCAAATGCCATTCCACAGACGTGAGTCAAGAAGCAAGAAATTTTCAACCCTAAACTCATCAAGGAGACTCTTAAGAGTTTAGTAATTTACCTAAGTTTGTATATAACTCAGGATCGATACCATAAGTCTTATTGCCTCCCCTCGAGGGGCAATCGGAGTGCCGCCGCATGGCTATCGCGTGCAACTGCGTATCCAAGACGGAAGAGTAGGGAATGAAAAAGGGGGTCTCGAACATGACAGCTGTAACAATCAACTCTTGGCGGTTGAACGAACCATACTGGGAGTTCCGAAAAGACGATAATTGCTGACGGGTACAAACAGCGGATAACCGCATTGTTTACCCATGATCTCTAACCTCATTAGCGGTAGACGCGGCCACAAAGAATCAGTCACTCGTTTACGTTTACGGCCGTACGAACGGTCCGACGGCGGTAGCGGTGAATGTGATTGTTTTAGATAATTGTCTCTGCTAACTTTAGACATCGCACGGTAGCCAACAGCTGAAAATGCGGGAGTGTGAGAACTCGATATGGTATTGGGGGTTAACACACTTTGTTAGATAGAAGTTATCTTTGTAATATTTGGACAAACTACTATGGAGTAATTCGTGTTATTCATTTTTGAGAGTTGCCTGATGATCCAGACCGAACACATCTCACATCGCATCAGAGGCTAGAGTTCAGCCAGGGCAGGGATTCCTTGGCAGGGGAGCAAAGCTTTTCATTGGAGAGGGCTAAGGAGCCAAGAAAATTACTTTAGGCGCTGCAGAAACCATGCAAGGTACGCGAGAAGCTCTATCTGGTCTTGGTGGAGATTGTGAGGACGATTACTCCGTATGTACTCCGTACAGGAATTCAACTTGGCTTCAGGGAGTAAGAAAACTTGCGACCGTTAATCAGGCAGCCAGGGTGCCAAAAATAAAAATAAAAACTCTACCTACCTAGTCTCAAGTACCAAGTTATACTCATCGCTCATGGGGCCTGTCATAGCTTTGGCAGAGAATCGTTGATGAAATCAACATTACCCGAGTAACCGTCAGCGGATAGAACTATTCCGGCACTGGCCTGAAGCTGACGAGGACCATCTCAGTTGAGGAAACGAAACATTACGACGGAATGAAACGAAACGGTGAGAATGAATGAACAATCTTGCAAGTTTTCAGTCGCGTGCATGCGTGAACTGAACTTCAACTGACAGACCTGATCGAGAACGGATAGTCCCTCCGCAGCACCCACCAATAAACCTTGGAATGAGGTGATGTCCTGAAGCGATCCTGTCCGTACCTACGCTAGAAATCGGTCGTAGATGCTATTTTTTGCCTTGTCGTGGCGGGATCCATGGTAATGGTGGCTGGCCCGTTATGGGGAAGCGAGATTTGACCCCCCCTTTTCTAGTCGCCTTTCCTAAGCCTTGCCGTCTTCAGCTCGATGTCCGTTTCGACCAGAGAATGAATACATGCGGGAACATGCATTCTGGCTTCCGAGCAATCAGCCGTGTAACCCGGAGAATATGAGAGTGTTGTATCCGTACAATACTCCTTACATGTACATGCAATACCGTTCGGAGAATGGAGGTTCCCTCTAGGATGCCGGTAGTAAGCGGGCCGGCTTGAAACATAACTGAGCCCTGGTAACCTAAGAATGTGAATGCCGTGGACGCGTAAGGCGCCGAAGGAGGTTTTTCTTCTTCTACAATTGATGTTTTGTGATTAGTCTGTGTATCAGGAGAGAGTTATCGGAGTGGGTGGTAGTACATACATGGAGCTGGGTGATGAATTATCAGCAGATTTTCATTATACCCTCCTGAACTGTATCGCCGTGCAGCATTCTTTGAGCAATTTTTCTCTTCCATCTTGTATAAACTTCGCATTATTATCCAGTTACAGTACACACTTTACACTTTAGGTGACACGGTACAGCACACTGCATCAGGCCCAGTCAATAAACCGTCGCGCTAACAGACACTACTGCAAGCCTCAGAGGAGGGTTTAATTATCCTTGTTATTTCCTGGATCCAAGCCATGGGTCTCTCTGCCCTTGAACTTGATTGATTCATTGATGCCTGCTCGATCCTGGTCAAAATTGACAAGCATCAAAAAGCAAGGCAGGGCCTGGGCTGGAATCGTTTGTCTCCCCTCCGACTTGGCCCGCTAGAGTCAACTTGGCTGTCCTTGTAGGGGTTGTTGCTTTCTTGTCCGGCACCACTGATCCCATTTCCCGTGATATCCACTCAGAATTCTATACTGGCATCTCGCCCTCTTCCTTTCCTTCGTTTTCTTTTTGCTTGCGCAGCAGTCGAGTTACAGACCTCCCTCTACTTCAGGTGCTGTTAGAGCCGCCGTCGATCACTCGTTTCTCGACCCGCCATTCATTCGTTAACTTGCATCTGTGCTCCTCAACTCCAATACTCCTTTTCGACTTACTCACGACGATCATTTTCAACCCCAGACTCAACTTCATCAGCCCCAACTGCAACTGCAATATACAGTCACTCGTTCTTTGTTATATCCTGTCCCTTTTGAATAAGCACCTGGCCACAGCAACCGCTGCCAAATTTGTGCAAGTCTCGAGCACCCAATAGCAATTCTACGGCCATCTCATCTCCCCCCTGGCAACCAATCCCATCTCGCATTTGGTATATCACGCACCGCATTACACTCGTTCTCGACCATCGAAGCTGCAAGAGAACCCCCGCGAACGATTCTCATTTATCAATTGACTTCCCACTCATCGGAAGTGTCATCCGACTTGGAACCTTGCAATTGCGCCACGCAACGACAACAATAAAGATCCTCCACCGAGAAATTGTTAAATGTTGGCTTTCGGCACCAGTCGATTGACTCACTACCGCTACAACTATCGCTTCAGCGTGCGCTTCACTATCCAATACTGACATACCACCACCTTTTATCGTGTCAAATTGGGCCCATCGTGGTGAAACACATTCAATCTTGTGTGATTGTCTGTGCTGCCAATTCACTTAAAAGGTTGTACACATCGCCATCAATTCGATTGCTGCACATTTTTGGAATACGATTTTAATACATCTTTGGCGTCCTTCGCCTCGTCGCTCGTTACCATGATTTCATCATCGTGGTCTGCCTCAACAACGACTTACAGTAGGCCCAAGACCACCAGCTACCGCGCGCCCCGCTTGCGAATAGCCTTATCATTTCTCCTACTCCTAGCATGTCTTACTTCTACGGTCCTAGCGGGTACTGAGACATCATCATCTTCGCTACGACATCGACGACACCATACACCTACGATCAACAGATACGAGCTACACCGACGCAAGGATGAAGACGAGGTCAAGGAGATCGTCAACAAGGAAACCCCTTCCAAAACTGAGGGCAAATCCAAGGCAACAACTGTCACCATCCAACGTGCTGCAAAGACTGCTGCTGCGACAAACACACCTTTACCTGAAGCTTTTGACGGAAACTTGTCAGCCGAGCTTTCGACCACATCAGATAGTAACTGCCCCGCGTTTCTGAATGGTATCCTATCCGACCCTTCTTACGAGACTTGCTACCCCCTCTCTATGATGCTCCAGGTAAGTTCCAGTCAATGGATGGGCAGGCCGGTAATAAATATTGACAAAATCTCAGACGTCCCGTGGCTTCTTCGAAGCCCAGAAGCAGCTCTTGAGCATAGTCCGAGTACTCGATGCAACATGTGCTGCAAACGTCACATACTGCACTGACTTTTTCGATGCTGCAGCGCGCAACCTCACTGCATCAGAAAACTGCAAGCAAGAATGGGAATCGGGCAACACTATCGTCAAGCAGTTCCTCTATGGCATGAAGGCCTACGAGATGATGTACAAGGCTACATGTCTTCAAACACCCGAAGATGATATGTATTGTTACGCCAATGCTGTCACAAATACCACGACCGCCGCCAACGCCTACTTCTACTACCTACCGTATAATCTTACTTTGCCTGGTAGCACCAACCCTTCATGCAGCTGGTGCATACAAGAAACTATGAACATCTTCCATGCAGCCGCTGAAGACCGTTCTCAACCTGTGGCACTCACCTATGAAAGTGCAGCCCGACAAGTGAACACTCTCTGTGGCCCAGATTTTGTTAATAGCACTTTGCCTCCAGAAGAGACCAACTTGGCTCATGTGTTTGCCCCGTCATGGGTTGGCTTAGTACTTGCCCTGGGCAGTGCAGCACTAGTCAATGCTGTGTTATAGAATATCGACCCTGAACGGCACCACCTCAGCTATACTTTTTTCACTTCTTCTCAATATTCGACTATTACTCTTTTAATAAGTTATGACTACAGACCCATATACGGGGTTTGTGTTTTCTCTTCAGATACGATGCACTTGGCATATCTTCATGACTTGATACCCTTACCAACTTCTTTCCTTTTATTTGTTGAACCGATTTCAACCTTGCAGCCTGCGGGGATGGAAGCAGGCCGACATGCAAAACAATGCTATAATATTATACTACGAGGTTACATACATACTTTCTGCCAAAGCTGACTTGGCACTTTTTTACTTGGTTTCAAGAGTTGATTTGGAAAAGCGAGCACAGCCTGGAGTTTTCTGGTTGGGCATGGTGGGTTTATGCTTTGTATTTTCTACTGGATTCAATGGATGAGCGAGCTTGGGATATGATAGATCGGTGGGCTTCAAAAGCGTGACGGGCTCGAAATGGGACACGGTGGGACATGGTATCTGAGTATTGCTTAGAGAAACCACGATGACTGAGCACCCTAAGGGCCCTAGGGGGAAAAGAAAACTCAGGACCTTGATCCTATATGATAAAAGACTTAGGTAACTTAGCATAAATTTAGGATAATTTTTACTAGATTTACAATATATTTGTTAAGTTTAGGGTGGCTTTTACTGAGTTTATTTTGACACCCTATATCAAGGTCTGATATATTCTTGCTCCCTGAGGGCGCTGTACAGCTAATGGTCAGTATATTGAACCTTTTGTGTTCGATATATGAAGCTCAGAGAATAAGCTAGAGGAATATAGGCAGATGGGATAGGACACGATAGGCCTCCTCAAGCCTCATTTTCGTATCTTGACCACTTCCCCTCGCTATTCAACCGGGCTCAATTGGGAGGGTGTCAGACCAAGCGGTAAGTGAGCATCAATGCTGGGTAGAGGAGGTCTTACAGCAATGGCTATCCATCTCTTGTTCGCTGATACAGCCCAAACATGCATGAGCAGTGCAGTAGAGATTACCGGCAGCACGGTCACTGGCCGACTTTACTGGATTAGAGCTCGTCCTCAAGCTGTTGTGGAACGTAGCCAAGCTCGATGGTAAGCCGCAGTGAGGGAATGGTGCTAATGTGAAACTGTTCCAATGCCATGGAACTGGATGTGCACGCATGCATGCAAGCAAAGAAGGCTTTCCACTAACATATGGTGTCATCATGGCATGTACTTCAGTTAAAACATGGTGTTTAATGTTGAAGGCCGGAATGCTGAGCGTGAAGCCCTGCCAATAGTAGCTGGGTATAACGAGAACAGGAGGTCATTTCCCAGCAGACAGGAGAAGAACAAGGAAACCAATCCCCGATACTCTATCATTGGATCGTTTTGCCGGTGTTATGCCATTGTTCAATAAGCTCATAGCAGGATTTCTTGGTGCTTATGATCTGCTATACCAACAAGGTGCATTCACCTTCAAAGCGCAAGAGCCAATCGTAGGGTAGCTCTGACAGAGAAGCTGCATGGTGGTCTATTAGGCCTACAACGATTTGTAAATCATTCAATCTGGTTGTTTGGCTGTGGTGTGTCATAGACTTGGTTTGAAGGTCCGAGCCCGTCCTCTGGGAGCAAGAAAACATCAGACCTTGATATATAGTGCCAAAATAAATACGGCAAAGGTATCCTAAACTCAGGCTAAATTTATACTAAGCTTATACTAAGTCACCTAAGCCTCTTTGTCACCTAGTACCAAGGTCCTGAGTTTTCCTCCCCCCTAACGAGCCCGTCTAGCCCGTGTCCGTACAAAAGAGTCTGCTAGCCTGTAGTCAGGCTGGAGCTCTAGCCATGGCGTCTTGGTTCGCGTATCTCAACGAATAACATTGTGCATGGTGTTGTGACCGAAATGTAGCCAGCAGAATCGAAAGTTCAAACTTCAAAGCTGAATGGCGTGGAAATGACGAATTACCAGACGCGTCCTAGCTTGCCTGTTTGCCCACCCTCCAGGTCTGTGGAGCACCATATCCATGGATCGAGCAGACGATACCTATTACTGTACATCACCGATAACTGTTGTGTTTCTAACATCATGGAGGAGACAGAGGTGTGTCGCCGGTTTGCAATTTTGGGTTTATAGTTTTTGATGGCCAGTGATGATGAGGGTTGTACTTTGAAGGGAGAAAGAGACTCTTTAGGACCACGTCTAACTTGAGGAGTGGAGGCGATTATGTCGGCATCTTGGATCGGTGAGTGCTGATAGAATGCTCCAATGTAGATACTTGGGTACTGTCAGACGACATGCATGCCTCGTTGCGGGGAGGGGTGAGGGCCTACCTAGTTCCGGATATGCATGTGCAGTCAGCAGGCTTATTAGTTCGATGTAACATTGTCGTCCCTGCAGAGAAACTTATCCACAATGTTGAAATAGCTTAGGATTTATACTCAAGACGCCCATATTGTTATACAGCATATCGACGCACATATCTGCGCTCAAATACAGCGTCGAACTCAGCTTTTGTACATACCAGAGATGAACCACTGGAACGAATCAGCAACCTCCGGGGGAGCTCCCAGAGAAGAGGCCAATGAAAGTTATTCCCGTTAGAGAAACGGCACGGAACGCAGTACGAGGGAAGCCAACCTGGTTTTTGTTACCTGATCTCAACAAAGCCTGACGAGGCGCGGTGGCGCTGAAACCCAGTTCAAGGCCATGCACTCAAAGATCAAAAAGCAATCTGATCTGGCCAGCACATCGACTCGTTCCCTTCTTTGAATGTTGAACAGGATACGAATGGTCAGCATTCGACATAGACATCGCCGGAAGAGTCAAGAGCCTGCGTCATCACTTTGATAGCAGAAGGAAAGAGGGTTGGAAGGTCGAAGCTCAACGGCACGGGTACTAAAACTCAAGATAGATGTAATCAACGACTCCAGCTGGAGTCTCTGACTGCTGGTGTGGATGAGTGACAGTTGACAGGTTGCTGGTTAATGAAAGAGATGCTGGGTTAGTAGTTACCTTAATTAGACATTCAAGAGTCTAATCAAAAGGGTTGAGATTCCTCGATGAGATGCAATTCGCCGATCTCCCTTGTGACTTTCTCTTTCGGCTTCTTCGATCTGAGTAAGGCGTTAGGTGGGCGGACAGCTTACCCGAGCTTGGGCTTGGGAAGGGCACAGACCTGAATCGATCTTGTCAACATCTTATCCCCATGGGCGCCTTTAGCCAGCCAGATTCAGCCCTGGAATATCCTTTAAGCTACCTGAGGTTAGCAAGCCAAACTAAGGGATGCGATTCACTATATTTCCATCCGCTGATCTCCATCCCCTTGTGTGTTTCTGATGCCCTACAGGGAATCCAATACTTCGATGATCGACCCGCCAAGGTCCACATATACCCATCTCTAGCCATCATGAGCTGGCGTGCGATGCCCACTTGAGAGCCAAGATCCCAGACTGGCACTTTGCTGCATTCGTTTAATTAGCGCGCACTCAAGATCAAGTACGAAGCTTGAGCGAGAGTTTATAAATATGATGGTTTCAATGACGGCCTATGATAGAGAATGTTTGCGTGACCCATAACTGCGACAACGCAGTGGACAGGAGAGCCCAGACTAGGCACAATGGATCTATACACCAAGTCATGTCATGCCCTCGATACTGATCTGCTTCCCCGGCTGCCCAGCCGAGTTTTGGTGGTTTGCATAAGCCCCGTTTCTTTTAGGCCTCTTTTTATACTTGCACATAGATGCGCAACTGTTGCCGGCGGCACTTCCATTGATTGAGGCAAGATGGGGCTTCAGGCCTCTATCTGCGGCCGCATGGCAGGTCAATTCCCCTTGCAAGCATCCATCCGCTCAACTCACTCACCTACATGCCGACCTACCTACCTAGTTGCTTTTACTGCATTTAGCAACGCAATTTTTTCTTATTACATGCATACTTTACCTGACCACGGATGCTCCATTTGCATCTCGTGCCTGGTATTGGCTGTGATCCGAGGTGAGGTCAGGTAGCGGGAGGCGAGTGCTAATGGGTGCTTTTTGGGTTTTATGCCCAAGACTTTTCCATCTCTGTTGGTAGGCCAGGCAATGGCAAATATTTATTAATAATCCCACCTCCCCCTGTCATACTCAATAATCTCTAGCTTTTCTTGCCATCACCTTAGAACTTGTGCTTGCGAGGGCTCATTTTGTACTATATCTTCAACTGTCACTGGTCCTGGTCCTGGTCAGCCATTTCGTTTTCTGATATCCGCATTCGGAAATCATCGAAATCGACGATTTGGGCCTGATCTTAGGCACACTGCTGGGTGGCTTTCGTTTCAGTTTTCTCTCTCGATTTACTACCTCTCAAAACTCAACGATATCTCTTCTGCCATTGGTCCTCCGCCAACAATACACGGGCGGGAATCTTGGTGGCTTCCTGGTTCTCCAGTCCTTGGGAGTTTCCTTCGTTTTGACTTTTGCCTCAGCCGTCTGAAACCTTCAGACTCGAACCATTTTATTCCGCTCTCGACTGAGGCTGGAACGGCTTTATGCTTAGGGTCATCGTCCCTCCAGCTACTTGACCTCTGGGTCCTTATTTTCTATTCTATACCTAGGCATAGTGTTTGCATTGTGACGCTAAACAGCTCTATCCTCGCATTCTGACCAATATTCATTCGCCTACACGTTAGTGTTGCTATCCCTTCCTCTCACGCAAAGTCTTTGCATTCTCTACAGCCGTCATATTCCCGCTAGAACCACACTTATCAGAGACCAAATCCGGCTTCCTGGTGCGTCTGGTTGCGAGCTCGCCCACATCCCTCACGTTTTCCATCAATACGCAGCAGAAACACGGCTGACCACACGGCCTCATTCTACGGTCCTTTTCCTCCAAGTCTTTTGCTGCGTATGAGCCTGTGTTTCCTTTGCTACCTGTCTCCAACCCGGACATTGTTGTGGGCTTGGTTGAGATTCTCCCGCTCCCCCCGGCCGTTAGCCAACCTGCTAGTCTCACCCAAAGGAAGGCTTTAATCGATCTGAGTCAATAGCGTCTTCTCAGACCGCTAGGAGCCCATTGAGGCTACACGCCTTTGACTACACCAGCCTTCATCCACTCCCTCCCCCCATCGTCTATCTGGGCAGTGGAACCGCCCGCATTCCATCTTACAGCCGACTCCCTGAAAGTAGTGGGCTACTGGGCCCTTCCCGCTCTTTTCTTCCCTCTGGCCTGGCTGATCCTATTCTCTTATTGGACGCTACCGAAAGGGTTCTGCACTTGAGTACCTGGGGCATAAGTTAGCTGTTGATGCAACCGATCTAAGCCGCCACTGATCTTCCACTAATAAGCTCGACACTGGCGTCTCTCTTTCCCATCCATCTTTGTTGATGGTAGTCCTTCCTGACTGAACCAGAAATATTCCACAACATTCATGTCTCTAACAGCGGTTGAGACCGCCGCGCGAACATCACAGCGGCTGAACGCGATGCCACAGACCATGCCGGAGGCCATGCCACATCCACACGCGACGACAATAATGAATTGGGCACCGGACACACATCATCCTCCTTGGGGTCCAGCTCACTCTTACTATGACCAACGCCTGTATTCCCCGGCGGGCCAACTCACCGTAGGGCCCGATCATCGTCGTCCTTCGCCGCAGCAGCATCATCAACACCCACGAACTGGCCATGTCTACCAATCGAATGAGCTGCCAGGCTCTGTGCCTCAGAACCAACCCCATCCCCCGCATCCCCATCCACCATCTGGGCTATATGCTACTGATCATACAGCTGGACAGCAAGCCCGTCCACCCCAAGCTTCATCCACTACTCTTCTACGGAATAGCGAAATGCTGGACCACGCACAGAGCCACCCTCCAGTATATGCACCGAGGCTGCCCTCGGTGTTAGACGATCCACCGCCCGCCTTCATACATGGTCAGCATAGACCATCAATCGATATGCATGCGGTGGCCCCCTTCACAGAGTATCACTTCAATCCGCCAGTTACAACCAATGGTAGACCACCTGATTCGAATAGTCCTATGATGTCTCCAACTGAACCGAGGCCCGATCCTATGAGGATAGCCGACATTCTTACCACTGGTGAGAGAAGTGGCAGTAGGACGAGCGTGGACAATCGCTCAGGAGGCGATGACCGCTTCAAGCTCCAGATACGACAGCAACCAATTGCGGCTCGATCATGTGGATTTGGGGAGAGAGACCGGAGAGTAATCGATCCGCCGCCAATCGTTCAGCTTCTCATCAACGACGTCAGTCTCACGAAAGAAGAGACAGCAAAACATCTGCGCTATCCCCACTACGTAATGAGCTGCTCTATTTTCGATGAATCTGGGTCTTCTGATGCCTCTTTCATGCCTGAAGAGTATCGGCAACAGCGCCGACTCATGGGCTTATTAGTCAGTGCCCCGTTTGTTGGCAAGGATGAACATGGCGAGGAGGGCTGCTTCTTCTGCTTTCCAGACTTATCCTGCAGAACTCCTGGCTCATTTCGCCTTAATTTCACCTTGGTCAAAATTGACCCAATCCGTGCAAAAGAGGTGAAGCGCTTCCCGACTTTGGTCACCGCTCAGAGCGATGTTTTCACTGTGTATACAGCAAAGGACTTTCCTGGGATGCAGGCCAGCACAAAGTTGACTAAGCGACTTAAGGAACAAGGCTGTATTATTTCTATCAAGAAGGGAAATGACCGGTCCAAAAACACCAGGAGCCACGACGATTCAAGCGATGCAGAACAAGATGAGGGCGAAGCTACGTTGCAAGGAAAGCGGCGACGCCGTTCGGCACGGCAGTGAACTCGCAGCATATAATATACAGGGCGTTCGATGTGTTTTCAAGGCGGGCAAGTTTTGGGTCATACACGTACACGGATGGGACAACATGGCGCTACATTGAATGACGATGCTACCTTGGTGTTTCTATACTGCGATACAGAATGAAGGCTATTCTAATGTGCTCATTATACCATTGATTTGCCTTTGTTTCAGCAAGGCATGCTTCAGTTAAAATAGTTTCAACATATAAGTTGATGTTGAGAAGGGGCACTATGCTCATATCACAACTTGTGGAATATAGAGAACAGCTGTTCTCCATTTCTTCTTGCATATTTCCTCGTTGTCGCTAAGAACCTCAAATGCCCGTTACAAATCGTGACGCCTCTTGAGAATGATCATATATGGCTTAGCCGACCAGATCACACTCGACCGACGATGCATGTAAACTAAGAAGTCGAGCCCCAGCCAACAGGATTTGCATATAAGCTTCTGTGGACAACAACTTTGGTAATAGCCAGGTTGTCTTGTTCCTTGCAGTCAGGAGGCGTAGATACTCCTGTTACTCCAGTTACATGATTGTTACTCCTTTGCATGGCCTCTGGGTCTGTCCCAGCACCTATTCGGGTCATGACCAGATTGGGATGATTGAGTACCCAAGAGTAGTTCACGGGTCCCAAGTCATAGTCACATTCCAGTATAGCATTTAGGCCCCAACCAGAGGTTTCCGTGGGCATCCACGAAGAAAGTTGCGCAGTATTTTGTTTCTCATCAAAATTCAGCTGCATGACCGCTCGCTAGGGGGGTTTCGATGTTTCTGATACAGGTAGACAGGGCCTGGGTCAAGGAGCCTTGTGTAAATGTGGCAAAATGCGTGCAACTTGTTGAATGTGATCGGTCAAGTTAACTAGTACTTGTTAGGATGTCAAAGTGAGATCTCGCGAACAAGGAAAGATCTGATGACAGAAAATTTTGTGACTTGGCAGCGTTATCCTTTATCGTCAAGCTCAACGTTCTTTGATCACCCAGCTGACTGCTAGGATGGCATCCACAAGATTGGCACCATACCCCTTCGCTGAGTTGATCGACAACTAGTCTAGCAATGCTGAGCCATCTGAGAAGAATACAGTAGAGTTGGTCGCACTAGGCAGGCAAGCTATCTAGCTCACATTCACAGAAGTCAAAATTGGAGTATCAGCCTTTTTCAGACGGCTGTCCTTGCTAAATGCACACCTACTCGATCAGTGAATGTCAGACAGAACCTTGGTTGAATATTAGACATTTTCAGTGTCTGCTCAATAGTCCATCGTTGTTGGAATATCATTGGGCTCCATACTACCAATTTCTGCTATTATTCTGTCTCCCTGATCCTGTACTCCGGAGACAGGCTCCGCCGTTGCGATGGCTTGGGGCTACCCGCCTTAGACTGCCATGAGACTGCGACCCGTGAAGATATATACAGTACAACCCTACATAGCCACCAACGTAAAGTGGTTGAATCTGGTGCGGGAACTACGCAAGCTCCCGCATCTACTGGATATCGCGAAAGCTCCATTATCTGATCTCGTGTGAGCAGTGAACTAGTTAATTCGGAGAACGCTTGTCATTGTAAGTCTATGAGAGTACTGCATTGCTTCCTCGAGGGAGAATATCCTACGGTGTTCGATCTCGTACCATGATGACGGATGTCTAAGTAAATACAAAAAGTAAGACATTAAGATTTGTATAAGAAACAGACTCTCACGAACAAGTTCTTTGTTTCCAGCTCAGGCTGCAGCGGAGAAAGGCATTGGAGATGAGTCTCCGGACCAATCGTGCTATAGCATTCCACTGATTGGTGATATGTGAGTGACAAGCAGATGTAGAT